CTTTGAACTGGCTTGGCTTGAAGAAAGTCTCTTCCCACCCTCATTCAGATTTGGTGTAACTCCTTCTCAGGCTAGGTTTCGGGAAGAGCAGGCTATAGGCTCCAAACTAAAATTCAGCTTCTCAGAGCCTCCCTAAAAACCTGGAGTAAATCCATCCCCGAGAATTACTCTCAAATCAAGAATTCCTTCCTCAACTCCATTCAAGCCCTTGATCGTATTGAGGAGTCCAAACCTTTGATTGATTCAGAATTAAACCTGCGGATCCAAACTAAGCTTGAATATTTCGCCACCCTTAATAAAGAAGAATTGTACTGGTTTCAGAGATCACGAGTAAGTTGGCTAAAAGCGGGGGACCATAATACACGCTTCTTTCACCAGATAGCAAATTGTCGTAGGAGAGACAATACCATTTTGACTATCAAGTCAAATAATTGTTGTCTGAAACAATTAGAAAAAATTGAATCGGCTACTCTTAACTACTTCCAGGCCCTCTACACTGCCCTGTTGGGCCCCAGACCTATAATGGCTGACCTTGATTTTCAATCTCTTACAAAAACCCAGGCCCTTTGGCTTGAGCGACCTTTCTTGGAAGAAGAAATCTAAAAAGCCTTATAAGACTTAACCAAAGACAAATCCCCCGGTCTGGATTGGTTCCCCATAGCTCCTTTCAAAATTTTTTGGTAAACTTTTTGCTCAAACTTTATGAGCTTCTTCGAAGAATTCTTTCACAGGGGAATCCTAGACAAAGCTATCCATGCTACCTTCATTGCCTTGGTCCCTAGGGTTGAAGGGGCTGAGGAGCTAAAGGACTTTCGCCCTATTAGCCTGCTCAATTCCTCCTACAAAATTCTAGACAAGGTGCTGACCTCAAGATTACAACAAGTCCTCCCCCTTCTCATCTCCCAGTCTCAATCAGCCTTCATCAAAGATAGACAAATCCTAGACGAAGCTTGAATAGCACATGAGTGTATTCATTCTAGGCATTTGTCTAAAAAGCCGGGTCTCATCTTTAAGATAGACTAGAAGAAAGCCTATGACCATGTCGATTGGTCCATTTTGGACGAGTCAATGGTAAGAAAGGGCTTCCGAGAACGCTGGAGAAAATGGATGAGAGGCTTGCTATTCTCATCCCCACTTCTCGATCTTCATAAATAGAGCCCCAAAAGGCTTCTTCCCCTCCTCGAGGGGGTTACGCCAAGGGGATCCCCTCTCCCCCTTTCTTTTTGCTATAACAGCAAAAGTCTTCAGCCGATCTATCTCCCGTCTTTACCAAGCAAGCTTTCTTTCGGGTTTCAAAACCTCTCACCAAGGCCCTACAGTGTCTCATCTGCAATATGCAGACGACACACTGGTATTCTTAGAAGCCTCTCAATAAGAAATTGAAAACTTGAGGCTATACCTCGAATGCTTCCAATTGGCCATAGGTTTCAAAGTCAACATGGAAAAATAAAAAATGATGGGAGTAGAAATCTCCAACGCAGATATTAGGGAGCTTATCCCAAATTGGGATTGCAAAGTTGAGGATCTTCCTACAACCTACCTTGGCCTCTGGGTTTTGGAAAACCGAAAAAGAGACACTGGTCACATGTGATCGACAAGGTTGATAGGTGGTTGGTGGGATGGAAAGGGAGATACCTTTCTCAAGCTGGCCGAACCACTTTGATCAAAGCAACTCTGGCCAATGACCCTGTCTACCTCATGTCTCTGTTCCAATTGCCAACCTCAGTGGCAAATCGACTTGATCAACCTATGAGAAATTTTCTCTGGTCGAGCCAGGCAGAGAGAACTAAATACCATTTAATCTCTTGGGAAAAAGTGTGTTTACCCAAACAACATGGGGGTTTAGGGATCAGGATCCTAAGAAAACATAACCTGGCCCTTTAGGCAAATGGTGGTGGCATCTAGTAACTCAGACTGATTCCCTTTGGGCCAAGGTCCTACGCCGTAAATGTAAGATCTCCGAAGGCACTTGGGTGTCAGAGAAGAGACCTTTCAGCAAGGCCTCAGGATCGTGGAGGTCCTTCACCTCATCCCTTTCACTGTTAAGAAATTTTATCAGATTTTATCCAAGAGAGGGAACAAGAGTGCGCTTCTGGTCAGATCTCTGGCTCGGACGCACCCCCTTAAGGGATCTCTTCCCCCTCCTTTTACTCCATTGTCTCTAACAAAGGTTCCACTATCACAGAGGAAATGGTAGTAGTGGGAGGTAGAAGAGGGTGGAACCCTCCTTCAGAAGAAACCTCTGATGAGGAAAGAAATCACTTTCTCTCTCTTTCGGCAACATTACATAATTCCTTCATTTCCACACAAGGGAGGGACTTGTTGGTATGGTCTCTTTCACCCTTTGGTTTTTTCTTGGTGGCTTCATTCTACAAAAGGCTTATCCAACCTCTCACTTTCCCTCTTAACCCCCCTTTTGTACTATCCAAGGTTTGGTCCACAATAGCACCTCCTAAAGTGCAGACTTTCAACTGGAAAGCAGGGTCCCAAAGGGCTCTTACAGTGGATCAGCTTCAAAAGAAAGGGATCCCTATTCCCAATAGATGTATCATGTGTCTGTGCGAGGAAGAATCAAATCCTCACCTCTTCATCCATTGTAACATTGCTCATGATCTCTGGGGTCCAATGTTGCAGCCATTCGGGGTCCAATGGGTAATGCCTCCGACAGTCAAGGATATTTTATCTTTAGACCATGCGTCTCACTGGACGAATCCTATGGAAGGCTGCCGTGGCGGCCATCGTTTGGGTTATCTCGAAAGAGAGAAACTCCAAGATATTCCATGGCCCTATTGCCCAAGGTTTAGCACTTTTCCACAAGGTTACATCCCTAGTAATTTTTTGAGCATCCAACCAACGGATCTTTTCGGGGTTCTCAGCAAATACCTTCCTAAGCCAGTGGGAAAACATCCTGCATCACCGCCCACGGAAGGTGCAAAAATCTCACAACTGACAACCACCCTCAGAAGGAGTTATAAAGCTTAACTTCGTTGGTTGCTCTCTAGGAAACCCCGGTCATGCAGGTGCGGGAGGTGTCTTCAGAGACCACCATCACACAATATTGCTTACCTTCAGAGACCACCATCACACAATATTGCTTTCCTTTTCCGAGTATCTTGTCTTTCAAGATTCTCAGTATGCCGAAGTAATGGCCCTCCTCTTGGGCATCAAAAGCTTCAATCACTCTTGAGGGCGATACCTTATAGTGGAGGGAGACGCGAGTAATATTATATCATGGGCAACCGGGAGATCCACTCCTCCATGGTATCTTGCTTCGATTTTTGATGAGATCGCATACATCCGTAGGGATATGGTCGTCTTATGGATGCATACCTCGAGGATGTCAAACGAGTTGGCCGATCTCTTGGCAAAGGACGGGGCTAGGGCCCAACTTGAAGACCAAACCTGGTCCATCTCCTTTTTTGCTTTGGACCACAGACGGTACACGCAACAGTAGATCTCTTTGTAAAGGAGCAAACATATATGCCCAGTTTTTGTAATCTCATTGTAAATCTATTGTAATCGGGCAAATCTATAAGCCCATATTTGTATAGGGGCGACTGACATTTTTTATTGAGAGCCCCGTCTAGGGGGGACTCTCGGATTTAAACCAATATGTACTCCAACTCTTTATAGCAATACAAATGTTAACTTTTATCCAAAAAAATGGTGTGAAGGCCATTTACTTAACTTTAAAGGTCCGAAGTCCAGTTACTTTGGACCTTCAAGATCTGAGTTGATTGGACTTTGGAAATTCACTTCAGGACGATGAAGATCATAAGTCAGTCAAAAGTTTTTTTGGACTTCAATCTGAAGTCCTTATCACTTCAGACATTGAAGGTTGGAAGTGGGGGCATTTTGGGTGAAAATAATTCAAGGGGAAAAAGGGGTATGAAGGAGGTTATAGGGGATCTTTTAAAGAACGGTAATTTTTTGGAACATGAGGGTAAATTTCTCTATAGTTTTCTACAATATATGAGGTGGGAATTTCTCCTAGCCACAAAACTGCATGCTCTTTTAGGGAGGAAAATGCCATAGAATAGTTGTCTAATATTTCTTATGATCTTTTGATTTATTAATTTAGTTCAAAGCAATATTTAGCTGTTCCCATCTTACAAGCCTGGGGCTTCAAATTGATTGATTTGAAAGATTAAAGGAATATCTATACTGCCAAGTTACAAGCCTGGAGTTACCATAGCATCCCTTGCAAGAATTCCAAAAGTCAAATCCACTTTGCTAATCTGGGGTTTGCATTTGATACTCTTTCTATATTTTTAGTCAGAAAACTTGGTTGCTGGAATGTCAATGCACAATCCTCTCTATCGGAGCTCTTCCTGGCTTAAGAGAAACATGGAGATATTACTATGCCTCAATTCCCATCTCATGAAAAGAGTAACCTGGTTAGGGACTGCTCAATAATTTCATTTTTCAAATTTCAATCTGTTTATTGATTTCTTTATTGTCTGTGACAACAAGCTTACGATGATTTTATTATTATCTAATCGCAATTCTCAAATAACCAGCATAGCAACAATGACTTCTGTTTGCATTTTGAGTCCTCCATGAGATTATTGTATGGTATAAGTTGTAAAAAAGATTGAGCAAACGTGTGTAAAAGTCTATATGAACGTTCACCAGATTGTTTGCAACAAGGCAAGTGCATAATAATTGCATTAGGATTTTTTGGACCCCAAATTTGGGATACATTGGTCACCTGAATGCTGTAATGGGGTATCCATGTGATGCTTTCTGCCTTTTTCATTGTGATGATGGGAGTGTAATCCCCATGTCGTCAAATCATAGCATTCAGCATGAAGTTGGAGAGAAAAATTCATACAAGACTCAGACAAAATATCTAACATTTGGATTTATGTACTTGGAAACCATGTGACAATGTTACGTAAAAACTTTTTGCTTACAAAGTGAACTATTATTCTGCCATTCTGTAAATTTTTATGCTCATTGTAGTTTAAAATTAACTGTCAATAAATCCATTGTTGTAGGAAGCTATGGAGATAATGGTTGCTTGCTCTGCAATGGCTGCAGCAAAAGGGGATGAATCACATACAGAGAATGTGGAAGCAGAAAAAGGCAAGTGGTCCAAGTGGAAGCGTGGTGGCATTATAGGAGCAGCTGCATTAACTGGAGGAACCTTGTTAGCTGTTACTGGTGGTAATGCTCATTGGATGTTTCTTACTATAACTGGGAAAGTTCAGTGCTTGTGGGGATATTTATTTGGTAGACATAAATGCCCTGGATGAATGGATTTCATATGTCGATCATCTTCATCAGGTCTAGCAGCTCCAGCAATTGCAGCAGGATTTAGTGCCCTAGCACCTACTCTAGGAGCGCTTGTCCCTGTTATTGGAGCAAGTGGATTTGCTGCTGCTGCTAGTGCTGCAGGATCAGTTGCTGGATCAGTTGCTGTTGCTGCCTCTTTTGGGGGTAATTCACTATCATATCTTTTGTGATGTATTGTTTTCATTATCTTATTAAATGTTATTTGATAAAAGGCCTTTTTGTATTGTCCTTTTCCATTCCATTGATGCTAAAGTTGAAAGTGCCACATAGATCTAGGTTTCTGCCAGTGTTAGATCAGTATATTGGAGATGATAGAGAAGAGAAGAAGTGAAGAGCAGGAAGAGGATGTAGGAAGAAGAGAGGGGTGGGCATGAGAGAATGAGATTCAGAAGTGGGACATGTTCCCTGGAGTTGGGCACTTCACACATATATGTTATTGATAAATACAGGCAATACCCTTGTATAATAAATAACTCACACAACCTTATTAAATAGTAAAATCCATTTGTGCCTTACCTTATAATTGCACTTTCAACACTCCCGCTCAAGCTAGAGCGTAAATGTCAATCATGCCTAGCTTGACAACTTTATCATATAGTCTATCATGTGCCACTACTTTTTCTGAAGACATCTGCTAGTTGGTCTATGGATTTCATCGGAGTGCATATAATTCTAGTTACAAACTTTATCCCTAATGAAGTGGCAATCCACTTCGATACGCTTTGTTCTCTCATGAAATATAGGGTTCCCAACTATATGGATGGCTTCTTCATTATCGAAGGGTCATTGGCAACTGAACTTTAACTCCCAATTAGCCAATATAGTTTTATCCCACACAATTTCACATGTTTCATGTGTCATAGTGATGTATTCAGCTTCAGCACTTGGTCTTGCCGCTACATTATGTTTCTTACTTTTTGGTGGAACCAAATTACCCCCAAGAAACTTGACCTTCTATTGGTCTACGAACCCATCCAATTGGCACTAGTGTAGATTGCGACGCTCATATAATCATGATTAGTAAACAGCAAACCACTCCCTAGAGATGTCTTGAGATACTTCAGAATATGATAGACTGCTTCTAATTGTGGTCTTTGTAGGGCTTGAACTAATTGACTAACTACATTAGCTGCAAAAGCTACATCTGGCTGTGTAATCGTAAGGTATATAAGCATGCCCATTGATCTCTGATACTGGCTAGGGTTCTTTAGTAACTCTCCCTTTTGTATATGGAGTCTATGATGGGCTTCCATAAGAGTATCCATCGGTGTGGCTTCCAACATTCTGGTTTGTTGTAATAGGTCCAGCACATACTTCCTCTAAGAAATAGCTATTCCCTTCTAGGACTTTGCCACTTCAACGCCCAGAAAATATCACAGGGGACCTCAATCTTTTATCTCATATATCAATATTGAAAACTACGGATTCGGCCACCTAGTTCACTGGGCGGCCTGTTTAGGAAACTTAGGGGTCTAAGCCCCAAGGAAGCTGTTTAGAGGGATTTGGTTGCCTTAAAAAATGATCAGAAACTACAGTTTGTTAGAAATACTTGTAAAACACATTATCTAATTCCGCGATACCGCCATATTTCATACATATATCAAATATGAACTTGCCATTGAATTAATTAGAGTCTAAAAGTCCAATAAAAAAAAAAGAAAAGAAAGAAAGAGATGCCCAATAGGCCAACACCCATGTTCCAAAATCATCATTCCACAAAAATATTCATCATACCAAGTGAAACATAGAAAAAGAAAAAAAAGTCCAATCATGATGAACTCGGATTGGTAATTGAAATTCATCATCACTACCAACAATGGCTCACTGTTTACCACCACCACCACCTGATGATGATGGTGCAAGCAAAGTACATTTTGGGGGGTTGCAATGCCCCCTAAAACCTTTCCCCCCTCTTTGAGGCGGAAAGTGACAATTTTTGCCCTCGGCAGAGGGCATACTTTTGCCCTCTCGCCAAAGGGCACTGGCCGCCGCCTGGGCAGCACCTAGGTGGGCTCCTAGGGACAAAATACCTAGGGATCCCGTCTAGGCCCATATGTGGACAGGAAAGGCTGCCTAGGCAGCAAAGCAGCCTAATGTTTAACATTGTGAAATACTTTAGGTAGCATTTGATATCTGTGTTGTCTGCTAAGCTATCCCTTGTCATCAAGATACACTACGAGTGTCCAAATTTTCCTCACAAACAATGTATGATCACCTTTACTACTGAACCCAATCTTTAGTAAGGGCCCAATGAATTTTTCTAACCAGGCTCTTGGCAATTATTTATATTATCACCTTTTTCCACTGTATACGTTTCCAGTCTCCCCCTAAAACTGAAAAAAATGGAGGCATGGCAATATAGGTTTCCTCATGAAAATCTCCATGTAAAAAGGCTTTTTTCACGTTTAGTTGATGTAGAGACCAAAGACTAAGGAGAGAATATTTCTAACTATATTTAACTTCCACTTATGGGGCAAAAGTTTCTTTGTGATTTATGCTGTGGATCTGTGCAAAACCTTTTGTAATCAATATCGTCTTGTACCCTTCTATAGTGTCATCGGCCTTGTATTTTGCTATAAACACTCATTTACATCCTATCACCTTCTTTCCTTTAGGAGGTTTGTTGAGTTCCCAAGTACTGTTTTTTCAAGAGCTTGCATTTCATCCCACATCGCAGCCTTTCACTGAGGTTATGATAGATCTTTGCCATTAAGTGTGGAATGCAGACAGTAAAAATAAGATGACAGGAAAACCCGATAAGAAGGTAACTTGGAGTTATAAGAAACAAAGTTGCCTGTAGGATATTGAATGCATGAAAGGTTATCTTTGCTTAAGGCAATAGGTAAGTCAAAGTCCAACACAAGGGCTGAATTGGGAGGTTTTGAGGAAATAGTAGGATGAGAATTATTTTGAGCAAAGTTTAGTACCTACTGTCAAGTTGACAATTGAGTAGTTTTTCTGGACTTCAAGTTGAATGATTTGCAACAAGATAGCCAAAATATAGGCTAGGATATCAGAAATCTGCCATAGGCTGTTGAAATGGTCTCGGAATGGGATGAAACTTGATGCCAATAGGCACTCCACCAAAAATTGAGGGCTTTAGATCACCGGCCTATACTTAACTGTCATCCTAACCATGGGAGAAGGTCTTTCCAAAACCTCATCCTGTCAGCACCAGGCCAGAATGTAAATCAGGGTGCCATTCTCCTATCCTCCCAATTTCAGGTCATTCTGTCATCGTTTGCTCCCATCTCCAAGGTTGCTAAGTTAAATGGGCACTATTCATACAGCTAGAGTGCCCCAAAATCAGTCTAATTAACGAAGTGACCCATGGCAAACGGACTCCAATTGAGGCAAAGCTTGACGAAGTTTAGTCTAGGTCACACCAAGCTCACCCTCAAAATTTCAAGCGAATTGGACATCGTTTGACCCACTTTTTGAAGTGATGAAATCCTCATTTATCTTACTTTCATTCCTGAACATTAGAAAGAGAGCTGGAAAAGCACAATCTATTGAGTAAAACTATCGATTACCATCCTATTCTACTACTTAGAGCTGACAATATAAGATATTTGTACCTTTGAAACAACTTAGATTATATAAGTTACAAGAATACATTCATAGTCTAGCGCTAGGAGAGTTCACCGCAAGATATAATCATCTAAGATTGAGAACCTTAGGGAATCAATGAAGTACAATGGATCGAAAGATTACCAGTAAAAATTCTTCTGATTGTGGCCACCAAAAGCTTCTTTGAGTTGGATGATGTTTTGTCCATGATCTATAGCATCATTCTAATCCATATTGCATTTCTATAATCATGCATGATCTAGATGTACACCAATGACCATTATTGATGTGTTCTTTGCTTAGTTTGTTTGGTTGGTGGCTGATACTTTACTTCAAGTGTCATTATACTCTACTCAGTGGCCCTATTTAAATTGTAGAATACTAAATGCATCGTTATTCATTAGTGTTTGCATCTGTACTCTTGACAGTACTTTTGGTGGTTTTTTATGTGGGGAATTTTATTTACCGTCTGGAGAGCTTTTGCTGCCACTAAATGCTCTTTTTAATATTTGATAGCTTATTATGTTGCAGACAGCTTTCCTTATCTATTTCCTTATCTAACTTTTGCTTTATATCATTGATAGTGGCCTTGTGTGGTTGCTAATTTATTTATCACAAATTTTCCATTCCTTTTCTATTTGTGCATGTTTTCCAATTCATAGCTGCTGGAGCTAGCCTTTCTGGTAGTAAAATGGCAAGGAGGATTGGCGGTATTGATGAATTTGAATTCAAACCTATTGGGGAGAATCATAAAAATGGAGTGAGTGGTTTTATGAGTTCCTAATTTTCAGTTACGTAAAGACATTCAGTTCTTATTGATATACTATCCACTACAAAGGTTATCTGGATGTTTAAAACATTTAAATGAATAGGATAGTTATAACCATTATCTGTGAACATTCCTTCTTGCAGCGACTGGCAGTTGGTATTTTTGTATCTGGATTTGTCTTTGAGGAGGAAGACTTTGTGAAGCCATGGGCAGGAAAAGAAAGTAACCTAGAGAGGTGCTTTTTAAACTTATCTATAAATATAAAATATATATTGGTGTGTGTGTGTGCTTGCGATCTCGTGTGTGCGCATCTCTCTCTCTCTCTCTCTCTCTCTCTCTCTCTCTCTATGTAGGACCATAGTCTTGCATCCAGGATGGTGGTCCCTGAATAACCAGATACTTTTCTTTGAAGTCAATGTATTTTTGTCCGACGTTGGTTCTGTTATATATACAATGATAGTTTCCAAAGATAAATGAGATATGTTAGGGCTGGATTATTTGTGATGTCGAACTTACTTACCAATGTTTATCTTCTATTATTCTCATTTTTCTATCAGTCCTTACTGTATCTTCACAATCTTGTACTGGAAGAGGTATTAGCCACCTTGATAGATGCTACTTGATGATGGATCACATTTACTGGTCCTGCCCCAATTCGTATGGCATGGACATGTCATGTGAACTTATTTAAGGCATGACTCTATAGAGTCATAGACCAACATCGTATGTCAAAAAAGGAAATGCCAGTGCATTATAATTGATACCAATTGGGCTAGATGCTCAAATCAGTGTTCTCTTGCCTCTACTAACAAGGGTAGAAGGGGGAGAGTATTTCTTCAAACCATTTGTAGGACAAACAATCAATCTGCAAAGACTGAAGACGATGAAACTGAGACGCACACTGCGAGACACCTGGACCAAAATTTGATAATGTAGTGGCATCACATGGTCATATATTACCCATTTTGAGAAGGGTAGAAGCAATAGAAACAGCCATTTCCATAGAATTGGGATGGCAGAAAGCAATGGAGCTAGACACCAATGTTTTTTCCATCATCTAATCCACAGTAAGTTGAATGAAATCAACTCGAATGACTTACATGAAGTTTATGTAAACTTATTTATTTGGCCAATTGAGAATGAGTTATGTTTATTAAATTCAGATGGTACTGAACCAATTATACGACTTCCAAGACTGTATAGTGAGATGGTATCGAACCAAAAAGATAACTTCACCCTTCTATAACTGTTGAATTTCAAGGAAACCATGGTGAGAAAGAGTGCAAGAGCCTTGAACTTTTGTAGCAGGGCCAGGGCTAAGAGTTTTTAGTTACTGTTTGGTCTATCTACCTGCACAAACACACATTTGCACAATTACATAGAAACATTTATACATGTATGGAGATGTACTGAAGATATGTTTTAGATACGCAAATATGTTGATGGAACTTATTGAGGGTAATTTGTACAAACTACAAAGGGGAAAGATGCTCAGAGCAATAATGATTTTGTTTAACTACTGGGGCCTCAAATTGGGAGTATGTGAAATGTGACAACTGAAAGCAAAGGAAAGTGAGGTATTGATTTTACTGGACAACCTTTTGTTTTAAGTCATAGTTTATTTTGATATGCAGCAGACTACTTGGAGCCAAATGGTGCAGTGATTCCCATATCAATTATAATGAGGTTCTAGTGTGCTCATGGTGTCACCAAACTGTTCCTCTCTTTCTTTCTAGTTTCCTCTCTTTCTCTCTCTAGATCCTACCAAGCTGTTTTTTTCTCTACTTTATTTCAACTCTTCTTGACAACATGAATATTAGGTAAGGTAAATTTAAATTAACTGTGTCTGTGAGAACCACTTTTAAGAGACTTGCCAAGGGAAAATTCAATGAAAGATGTCCTCAAAAAGCTTCTCACTGTTTCTAGTTTCTGGAAGTCCCTTCCAAGTTTTGCACAGAGGGATATGTGTTGCATTAGAAAAGATATACTTTTTCTCTGCGTCTATGTTTTCTTATTCTAATTTTTTGTTCAGGTTCCATGATTGGGTGTAATGTTCCTCGTTCTAATTGCAGTTTCAATGTAAAGAAAAGTCTTATCTTTTAAACTTTTAGACATCTTCTATTGCAATGGAGCTGGTTGTTCCTTGAGAGGCATCAGTGCAATTGATTTATTCATAATTCATTATACTGCTGATCATGTTGTAATTATGGCCAGATATGCACTACAGTGGGAATCAAAGAACTTGATCACAGTAAGCACTGCAATACAGGACTGGCTGACATCAAGTAATTAAATTGATTATGAATCATACATTTCGTTTTGCATTATATATACACGAATGTCCGGAATCGTATTTCTCAATGATGATATTAATGTTATCTTATTACAGGCCTCACAATGGAACTAATGAAGCAGGGTGCCATGTTGACTGTATTAAATACACTTGTTGCTGCATTGGCCTGGCCATCTACTTTGCTTGCAGCTACCAATTTCATTGACAGCAAATGGTCCATAGCAGTGGACAGGTTTTGTTGCTATCTTGGGCATTTTTTTAAGAAATCTTTATTTTATTCTTTTCAACACTAATGCCGTGTTTCTGTTGTTTGTTTTTTATTTTCAGATCAGACAAAGCAGGACAGCTCTTGGCTGATTGTTTACTAAAAGGCCTGCAGGGAAACAGGTAAGCATGGAAAGAGATCATGTTTCTAGCTGGAAATGCCTCGTGGACTGTAAAAAACAGTCACTTGCTCATTTGTTACTTCAATATTTTCAGGCCTGTGACTCTCATTGGTTTTTCACTGGGAGCACGAGCAATATTCAAATGTCTTCAGCATTTGGCTAAAGCAGGAGACAGGGGTAGGCCATATGCTTTAACTTCCATCTATCTATATCTAAGGGACGATGAAAAGAGTGATGCCGATGAAATTTATGTTGCCAGGTGGCCTTGTAGAAAGAGTTGTTCTTCTTGGTGCCCCGGTTTCTATCAAAGATGAGCACTGGGAGGATGCTCGAAAGGTATTATGGGCCAATTGCCTGAACCTAAGTAATATACTTGCATCTGTTATTTCTGTTTGAGACAGCAATACATCCAAAAGATTTCCTTTATTTTTCTCTTTCTTATTGGCTGCCAGATATTTCGTATTGATAAAAATGATAATGATTTGCATTTTACTGCTGCATATGCCCATGTATACAATTATTCAACTAGAGAGATTGATTAGCAACATTAGGTCCTGCTGACTTTCAGTCATTTCAGCAATTCAGCCATTTACTGCTGTTCTTCATCCAACTCTTTGTTTTGTCCTCCAATCTTTGAAAGCTTGAAATATATTGTTAATGTTATGACACTGTGAATGAAAGAAATGGCTATGTGGAACTCAAGGTATTAAATTTCCAAAAAATTCTGTTTTTTTTGTTCAATATACCTGAATTCCACGTACATGGGCCACTATGTGTTGCTGTAAAATAAAAATAATACCTTAGATACAACCTAAGATATTTATTTTCACTGCCAAAAGAAATAAAAACTATCCAGGAGGTTTAAACAAACCTCCACTATAATTTTTAGTACAACACAAGTTCCTAGAAATTCACGGAAAATAAAAAATAATACTGAAAATTAATTAAAACTACTAAGAAGAATTACTAAAAGATGCCTGGAGTTACCCTCACAGGTCTTGGTACACCCCACACCGGATTCCCTGACCGATAACACAATTTTATTCCTTTAGGTGTTGCTAGAAATTCTGAGATAAGGAATCTTTGTAGGTAATATTTCTTTTTCTAGGGTTTTGGAGAGCTAAAAAATCAACTAGGGTTTGTAGAAACCCTATGTGAACTGACTAGGGCTGAGCTTGTGAGTTGATCTCTCTCTAGGTTCGTTGTCACCGTTCTTTTCTTCAAAACACAGCAAGCCTTAGGATTTTAAAGTTCCTCCTTTTCTTTCTTTTAATAGAAGCTACTCAAATAAAGAAGGAGAGAGAAAGAAAGAGAGTAGCGTGACTTTTTAAGGCAAAGAGGGGTGACACGATTTTAATTTTTTATACAAGAGAGAGAAAGATATGGCGTGGAGGAGAGGGTGAGAATACGTGCGTGAGAGAGAGAGAGAGAGAGAGAGAGAGAGAGAGAGATCTTGAGGCATGAGAGAGAAAAATCTAGATGTAATGAGAGAAGGGGCTCAAATCTTGTTTAAATAGAAACAAGATCTCTTTTCTATTTTGAATAGGATTTTAATATAAGTATGCCTTATCTAATTTCTGGCTTGACTTTTAGGATAATTAGAAACTCTATGGGGTGAGAGAGATTAATCATAACCATTCATCCCACAAATCAGCCATCATAATTTTGGGTGGAAATTTGGAATCTTATCCCCTTAGACTTTGACCCAAATCCTTCTAGTTAAATTTGCAATACACTCAAACTTTGTCATTATCTAGATCTCCCATAATCAAGGATAATTTGTATTTTAAAAACTTCCATAGGATATGAAAACAAATATTAAGATATTTCCTATCTTAAACTAAAATAAAATTTGAATCAAATATTAAGAAAGTGGGGCATCCCCCTTTTTCCTAAAAACAGTGGCGTGGATCGTTTTTGCTAAAATATTGGCATGGAGTGTTTTTTGCTAAAATAATGGTGTGGCCCTCCTAGGGGTGGCACGTAGCCCCCACTCTTAAAAAAAAAGCACACACACATACAAGGTTGGATACTTGGTCCCACATGTGTTATTTTAGGTTCTGAAAATTTCAGAAATACCCTTTGATGAACATTATAAAAAATAAATAAATTTAAAAATTTTAAAAAATATTTAAAAATCATAAAAACATTTTTAATGCTAAAATAAAATATACTAGGAGTGGATTGATACCAATAGATCAAAAGTAGCGACAATAAGGGCACTCCACTTGCCTCAAGAACCATGATCCACTACTGTTTCCTTATCCAACCTAACAGAAACCCATGACCCAGAGTCTCATAGCAGGGGCTCATTATTGTTTTGTTAGTGTTGGATAATAAGCAATGGGACCATGATCATGGAATGTGGATTTCAATTTCCCCCTTTAAGAGCAAGTCTTGCACTTGTCATCACAGTGCGAAGAGGGCTCACTCTATGCACATGTACATGTATCCTTTTATAGGGGTGCATCTCAGTAATGCGGTTGTCATGTGTACATGTCGTGTGGAAGTTTGTTGAGGCTTTAACCCTTGCTCTCACAGGCCTACAACTGCACACAAGAGACCATACAGTTCTCCTGGCCTACAAACATCATACCTAGGCATCTCTCTGACCTCAATAAGGGATGACCCACTGCAAAACCTTCTCGGTTTTGCCACATGCCAAGAGGTAAGGGTTTTGGACATGACCAGGGCCATATACTACCCAACCCTTGGTCAGTCAATATACACTCCCGTTGAAGTGCATATTCCACTATAAATTGTCATATTTACAAGCTCTCTAGGCCTATAAAGGTCACAAAACTCAACAGTGAAGAATCAATGACTTTTGTATTACATAGTAATTATGATGTTGAATTTTCATACATACAATCACACTGTACATTATTGATCCTTCAAACTGAACATTCTAAACAAATAGGCAATCGGAAGTCTATCTGAATCCTCTCCATTGTCAAGTGGGGAATGGAGTCCAAAAGGAACAAAATATGAGATATGTTGCATGATCACAGTTACACAAATTTAATCATCCTCTAGAGTCAATACCAAATCTGCCAATCATTTTCCATATTCATCCAGTAAAGCCTCCAGTATTTGCTGCCTAAAAATATGAAATACTATTTCATTACATCCATCTGCACCCTCTTTTCACTAAATAGTTGGGCAAAACATTCCTTCCAAAGACAAGGTAAATTTGCCAACGTACAAGTATGAGTTCTTGGGGATCACTTCCATGGACAGCGTCAGCAACCAGTTTATCTTTGACTATAAGACTTTTGATCTGCTCATTGATAACATCATAGTCTACAGCTAAGTTAAGCCTTAACCATGCTGGCTGCATTTCGGCTCTGAAATTGCTGAGGGTACCTAGTAATTTTTAGAAATCTGTAACAAACTGACGATCTTGGTCACGCAAAGAGCCCCATCAGCAGCATGTCATACCAGGTTCACTAAGTTTGTCTGATTGGTGCTTTTGTTTCATCCAGGTTGGTGGGTTTTGTTCTGAAAACATCAGATAATTTGGACGCTCTCATGCACTATATTGGATCTTCTAGGCTCATGAGTTGTTTGAATGACCTGCTCATTTATATTATGCTATCTCCTTGAGCCATAATTTTCGAAACAAAAAAATCTGGCCATTGCTGATATCTGCTTCATCTCTGGTGGAGTTTTGAATCTCTTGTTTCATTCAATACAGGTATTGCAAAAGATGCCTGCTGAACATATCCAGATAGGCAGGGTATCGCAAACCCCTACCTCATCCTCACCCATAGATTTTCCTGTCAATACTCAAGTCTGTTGGCGAATATGCTTTCCAGAAATGCATTATTAGTGCTTGTCCTCTAGAAACAGAAGCTGTTCACAAGATTCTATTTGTACTCCTAGAGTTTATCAAGTATTGTAATAGGGAGATTTGGGGCTCCATTTTAGGTAAACCACGAAATCTTTCCCAGCACTAATTTATCCCATTTGCACCTAGATCATTCAGTTACAAACTCCAAATGTTTAGCATTTCAGGAAGATTTTGCATTGAAGGGTCTGGTGTGTTATTGATCGGTTACATTTGGGAACTAGATGGGATTGAAATTTCAGGATGTGTTTCAATAACTTGCTTAAAATTGGAAGAATGTTACTCGGTGGGTACCCCTCTTGATGTACTGAACTACTGATAAAAGAAGAGACAGGTGAGTTTTCTATTTCTTGGTTGGAGCTTCTAACTGCAGGATTTTTGCTTAACTGATACATCTCTCTAGAATTTTCAGAAATTTAGTCTATCCTACTATCCAGCTAGTCTTGTCATTGGTGAACAGTATTGGTGGACTTGATCCCCAGCAAGACTTAAGAGCAAGGTGTAAAATCTTTTCTATTCAGCAGTGTCTGGAAGAACAACAAATCATATGGGTCAGATCACTAATGGCTTTTATTGATTTTCATAAGGCAATTACAAAAAATAAAAAAATATGTTCTCATACATTTTTGGGTGGTGAACATTGGTCAAAGATGTTCTTTGATTTTGTTTCCTTGCATAGAATAATACATTACATGTAATGGTGTCGTTCAATGTGAAAAGAATGCATAAAATAGAAATTTGTGTTGCTTTTGCGGTTTGCCATTTATTGTAAATCTTGACCTAAAGCTATCTGAAGTCCATTAGGACTACGATTGTGTCATCTGGTAATTCTCCTGTTGAATGTGTCACCATTTGAAAAGAAAATTATATTAAGCTTCAAATTTTTGGGCATTCAATGTGTATCTTCTCATCTTCTGAGAGACCTAATTTGGTTTGCTAGAGCTATGTTTTCCTTGGTTGCGTTGAAAACCAGAAAATTTTTAGGTATTATGTTCCTATGTCAAAAAGACTTTGTAATCTCATGTCATGGGTCTTCTACAGGAGTATTTTGTCTGACAACTTGGTGCTTCTGATTATTTGTCATACTTATGCTGTTTTTCCAGGATATTTTCCATGCTTCCTAGTAAGAGTCTACACCGAAATAGTTCAGCATAGAAATCCCCATGCAGATTTGAATGGGGCATAGGAAGCTACTGGGCCTATCACGAAATCGGATATTGTTAATCACTTGAGCTTAATGGACAATGGTTTATTCTCAGTCGACCTTGATATTTCTGTTAGGGATTCATCAACGATCTTGACAGATTCTCGATTTTAATAAGTAGCATGAGTAGAAAAAAGATAGACATACCAATCGTATGTTTAGTGGCTCTTGAATCAATGATCCAGGGAGCTTGAGATTGAGTCATGGAAACATGATTTGTGAGGATGTGGATCTTACTGATTGGGCAAGTTGCGACTTAGAGGAAGAGGAACGCTCATCATGGGTTGTCAAGTTTAAGGTCAAGAAGCTCTCTCTTGGAAAAATAGTCACCAACTCATCCTTAGGTATAGACGTTGTGTGGTCACAAAGTAAATGACCAGTAGTATCCTGTTGCAACACAAAGTATGACTAGTCTTCTCACTAGTCATTGCTGTGTAGGCACAAGTTGAATTATGCTTAGGGCATCCAATGAGATCCCAACACGTCTCCTTAGTTTGTCAAGATTTTCCACAATGAGCACGTTTCTATTTATGTTTTTCTTTGGGAGTGAAGCTTCTAGTACCACCACTATGCACTCTACCTCAACCACCACTGTGGCCCCCACCACGACCATCAAAAGAGTTTTAAACAAGGCCAGATGGACCTTTCAAATTCAACAATAGATGCGACCATAATTTCCTACAAGTTTCCCTACATTTAAGAAATGAAAATACTATCTCAAGTGATCTGAGATATTCACCGCCCAAAACATTAGATTGAATAGTTTCGTATTCTAGATTATGACCCCCTAAAAGATCAAATATCTTATTTTATTCCAACCTCTCTTTGCTCTTTAGCATAACAAGAGCAGTTTATGGGCTAATAGTTGTTTTGGTTCATCCGAAAGACCCCATAGAAAATCACCAACTCATAGATCTTTTGTCTGAAGTTACTAATTTGCTGCTCCAACCCATAAGTTTTTACAATATTCGTCTTCTATAAGCAAGCTTCAAGCACTACATTCCATATTCTTTTGAAGTATTGTTATCCATAAATGTAAACTCAAGTTTGGCTGCGTAGAACTTAAAAGTCAGTTGCTCATATTCCTATCATCCGCTTCCCAATCTGCATAAGATGGATCTTTAACATTTGGTTTCACTATACAACCATCAGCCCTCTTTGTTTTTCCACCTAGGAGCAATTGAACATATCTTGCCGACTTCAAGTACTTTGTCCCATCAAATTTTGTAGTAGTGATTTGAAAGCCTGAATACTCCACCTGATGTTTGTTGTGACATTAGATCTCTTTGAATGGTCTCTGTAAACATACATAGTGAAAAAAATAATAGTCGATCATAAAATTGTGTATGCAAGGGTTACTATTTAAACGTCAAATAGTTGTTGTCAGATCTCTATCAGTTTTCATCTAACCAACAAGAATCTTTTGATTTGATTCAAACCTCAGATGATTTCTCATTAAACAATAGCTAAGTATTGGATCATCCAATCGATAGACCAAAAAAACCTTATGACACTTAAACGAAAAACTGATTTCTTGTTAGACAAATGGCCAAGTACTGTATCATCATAATGCTCAAAAAAATGGGATCTACTTGGGATAACCCTTGCTTACTTCGCATTTTCAAGTTGTTTGGCCGTGCAACTGCTAACCTTAATTGTACGGCTAGAGTTTTACTAGACCAAGTTCCAAAATTATGGACGTTGCTATAGATCTTCAAATCATGACCTTGCCCTATATCTCTAAATCCAAACATGGTTTTGTTTTCCAAGTTGAATGTAATAGATTGAGACTTAGATCTGAATGTTATTACATATCTCGTGCAATAAGAAAAGAAGAGAAGTTAATAGAAAAAGTGAAAGTATATGATAAGGCCATTCACCTTAAGTACAGGTTCACAATCGTTCTTAGCTGTTAGATGTAAATCGGATGACTGAAGGTATGTCAATGACCAGGTTCAAAGATCAAAAGATTTTTTTTTTTAACTTTTTCACATAACCCTAGCCGGATTTCATTTCTAACATTTAGGAGTAACTTTTTCACATTGGACAAGTTGGGTAGAATGTGTTGAATTAGTCCAGTGTTTAAGAGGAATGGCAGTCATATATTATTGACATAAAAAATAAATGCAAGAACTATAGAAAAATTCCTTATTTTTAAATATTGAGTCTCAATTATGCCCCTAACCATAGTTACTAGAATCTTCCGTCCCAGATGGAGATTCGGCTTTGGAATCTCACTCCAGCGCTTCAAATAATGAATTTTCATATAATCCAGATTTTTAAATTTAGGATTTTTGCTTCCACTTTTAGTGAATCTTGATTTGAGTTCCTTGGGATCAAGGTTCAGCAACATCAATTCCCAGGTTTCATAGGTGCACCGAATCGTGATTCGATCACCAAGGGTTTAAAGTTTTGATAACACGAAATCAGGATTCAAATGCAAATATCTAGATTTATTAAGCTATTAACAAAGTATCATACTATTGTCTTTTGAGCATAAGTGTCAAGCAGCAAACCAGACCATTACAGGTAAGATCCGCACCTCCTTCTGAAATCCGAATCATAGCTCACTGCCCATAGCCCCCAGTGTTGGGTCTTAAAGTGTCAAGCATCTAGAGCTTGAATAGCTTGAGCTTGACATCCCTATCTTAAGGCAGAAGATCCTCTTTTAGGCATGAAACTAAGCTTTAAATCCCACACAAACATTGGTTTTCTTTGTATATCGATTAATTTCTTTAAGTGTGCATTTTAATGGTTTAATCTAGTGACTAAGTCTAAAAACTAAAAAATGATGTACATTTACGTGTGTGGTATGTCAGTTGAACATGTGACTTTTGTTCCAAGTTGCATGTCTTGCACTATCCTATGATGTGTGTATTAGACCGAATGACTGATAGCCAAATAACATTATATATATATATATATATATATATATATATATAAAAAGCAATAAAACCTGTTATGAGATACAATACCTTATGCGAAACCCAAAATTGATATATTGAATACAACTATTTAGGGGTCTCGATGTTTAGGGCAGTCGGCCTCGATTCCAATACTAGGATACCTTGGCTAAGCATACTCATTACATTGATTCCAGTACTAAGGGATTCTTGGTTAAGCATACTCTAGAACCTCGAACCTTTGGCCTTGTGGATCTCGTTACTTAGTTATTTCTAGCTCAGTTCCAAGTAGTTGAGGGAGCAAGTTCCAAAAGTTAAGAATCTTGATTTGTAAGATATGCATTGTCTGGATGGCACTTCCTAACCGTAGGAAGCTTCTAGCCTCGTGATTCCCCACTTTCAATTCATAAATAGCTCCCGCTTCCAAAAACTATGCCCATAACGAGACATTTCACTTTCATTAGGTGAGATAGCTATATTGCTTGTTTATGGGGAGGATAAAGTTTTGAGTGTGATGATGCAAGCATTATTCAAGTGAATCGAATTTTGGCATATGATGCAGATGAAGGATATGAGTTTTCTCATAATTCTTGGACTTGGGAGTACCAGATCTTCTTGAGGCATTATAGTGAGTCATCAGGTACCTAAGGCATATATCTGGAGAGCTCATTTCTCATTTAGCTGATATAACTGGTTGATAAGCGAAGAAAGCTTAAGGTCATACTTTTTGCATCAGATGGCGATCAACTACCAATCCTACAGCCTAGAAAGCAATGTGACAAAGTGGTACTTTATCTTATTATCGCCAAGCCACGTATATCAGATGATGTTCAGTTAGTTAATCTGTTTGTTTTATCATCGTGGTCCTCAATATAGATGCTGTTCATCTGTCATCAGATGGATTAGATCTATTACTGGACAATGGTTGCTTGACTGCTTCATTAGTTCTTAAGTTGATAGCAATCGCTGGTTGTAATTAGGTTAGTGCTGTTGTCAGAAACTATGGTGCACCATGTGATCTGGAGTTTGCATATCTTGCATCTTTTGCAAGTATCGGAACTCAATATGGGCATGCTTATTACAATGTTTAGAAGATGCATTAGAAATGTAGAAGATATCTCAATTAAAGTGACAGTATGGGGACCTGTAAGTATTTTGGACGTGTCCAAACATTGGAGACGTATTCAATTCTTGGAACATTATTTTATGTATCAACGTTGTCTATAATATAAATATTATCCACATGTATTCTGTAAGATGTGAAGCTGCCTATGTCCATTGCAGCTTCTTTTCTTAAGCTGCATTGGATGCCAATACCTGTTTTCTCATCTTGTACAGTAAAGGGTGTGTAATACAAGCTGTGTTGTCCTAGTCCACTGCTGAAGCTTGCAACTACAAGGCCCTTGAGATTGTTTGACTGAGGATTCTTTGTTTTGATATCAGAATCCAAGTTAATCCCCTTTCTATTCATGGAAACAACTTTATTACCATAAAAATTACGTCAAATCTGTACTTCTGTGATTGGGCCTAACACAGAGGTTGATTGTCACTCTATCAGGGTGACATTATTGATCTTCCATGTCTACCTTTAGAGGACCAGTTGGACACACTATTACTTAGTGAACTGTCATTTATACATAGGGGTACTTTAGTTTGAGGAGGTATATTGAGCGGTGTATTATAGATTATTGTAGTTCCATGGTTATGTATTTGTTAGCGATAACTATTCAACTGTACTGCCTGATAGGGTATTTGTCATATGCACTATATTAAGTGCAACTATGCATTTTGCCCTCATAATCACATACTTCTGACCGAAAATGCATGTGTTATAGTTGTTTTGAAGTTCCTATCAGAACATTCAAGCTAAAATTTCCATATCAAAATTTGTGCACTGACTTCATCTTATTGTCAAAGTTCCTGAATTAAGTTACATGATGTGGGGGAATTGTCCATTCATTTAAAATTCCTCCAGAGATATGACTATTAATATGGAAAGCCATTTTGTAGTTATTCATGCGGTCAAGAAATTTTATAGGTAGAAGAGACCTTCTGAGTATGAAGGCTCTTGTGGCAAGGGAAGGCTTATATATTTTGAGATGTGTTGACTACCTCCAAAATGATGGCTGACTTGGAGCTGCCAAAATGGGTCACATTGAATTGTTTTCATGTGGATATAAGACTACCTGTAATTAGCCATTGAATGTTTCGAACTAGCTGGAGTTCTCCCTTTACTTTCATTGACTCTTACTAATTATTCTGTTAAATCGTACGACCCTTAAAAGTCCCATGCTTTTAATTCTTGAGTTGTGGGAAAATCATCAGGCAATCAAGTGCATGAATGTCTCATGGAGTAGAAATCTCTCTCTCTCTTTCTCTCTCTCTCCTTCTCTCTCTCACACACACAATTCATCATAAAGAGATGGTTTAATTAAACAATCGTTGGCATATCAATGTTATCAGACGGTGGCTGGGAGATTTGTGAATGTGTATTCCACGAATGATTGGATACTTGGAGTTGCTTTTCGTGCAAGGTATGTCTCATTAATAACTAAGAAAAAATAACGACACCATCATTAGCTATCGTTATTTTATATTTTCTGTTATGCAGTCTTCTTACCCAAGGATTGGCTGGAATTCAACCTGTCACCACATCTGGTGTTGAAAATGTGAGTATGCCCATATTTACTGGTATGGGGTTTGAACAATTCCAACTGTCAATCTGTACCCGCACCCATTGGGTAAGCCTATCATGCAGGTCGATGTAACAGAGCTTGTTGAAGGCCATTCATCATATCTTTGGACCACCCAACAAATTTTGGATCGGCTTGAATTGGACACGTACTATCCCATTTTCTTAAATGCTTGATCTTTTCGAGTGTGGAGCATCCTTAACACTTCACTTTGATAAGGTAATGATGCAGGTCATCCTATGCAGATGGACATGGTAAAGTTTCTCAAGATTAGACATCATATGAATTACTTTGGTTTCACATATTTTCTCTTTTCTTGTCAAGTTTATGTGTTTGATCTATGCAACTCTCGTTTTTGGTGTCTTGTACACTGATAACTTGATTTCTTACAGTGTTGAGGATTCTCCAAACCTACCTGCAGCGAGATGAGCGCTATGCATATTCAGGATCTTCTAAGACTTGATTTCATAGGATTCTTGTATCCATCAAATGAAGCTCATCAAAATTTATCCATGGAGAAACAAAGAAACACATTGCAGTAAAGTTGATTTTGGATGTGGGGTTTTAGCTGGTTGTGGTGGACAGAACTGTTCGTCATGGGAAGCTGTGAACTCAAGGCTCAACTTCCAGCTCATGCCTGTGCCAATCTCAAGGGAGGTAGGCCACGGATCTCGGTTAACCTTATAAAAAAGTGCTCTCACAAGGTATGTCGAATTGGTGTCGCTTTCTTCTTGCAGTATACGACTCTGAGATTCTTCTTCCTCTCGTTTTTTTTTTTTTGGGGGTGGAGAATAAGCTGTGGTTCCATACTTGGATATCCGTTCAGCTGTCTTGTATGACCTGACAATGCAAATAAGTGGCCACGGGCTCTAAAATATTTATACAGCTAATGACAGTTGGTGTCTTGCAAGTTGCAAGGGAACATATTCTCAAATGTACAATTATTTTAGCGAAAATATCGTCGATCACTAAAAATCCAACTTATTTCATAGTAACCTCTTACATTTCATCCCTATCAGTTTCAAAATTTTTCATTCCACTCCCTCCAAATGTCCTGACCATTCTTTTTTATTTTGATCCTTATTAGTGCCCTAAAGTAATTTGAAAATGACACTTATGTCATTTTTCTCTCTTCGCACCCATAAGGCTAACCCTTGGTGCCCCTCTTATCTCTCTTTGCACTGGCTCTAATGGTACACTGAGAGTATTAGTGGTGATTCACCTGTTTTAGGATACCAAATACATAGTTGAGTCTACGGATTTTGAGAAACAAGAAATAAAGAAGGAATAGAGAAACAATGCGAGTGTTATTCTAGAATTAGTCTGAGTCACATAATGAGGATTAAAAAAAAAAAAAAGGCAGTAGGGATACTTGTAGGGGATGGTAAAAAAATATGGAAAAGTATACAATGAGTACAAGGTGGTCACAATTAATCTTGACCATTGAATGTGAAATTGGAAGGTTGTATTTATTCCATTTATCAAGCACAAGTTCAAAAGAAATTTTTTCGAATTTTGTGAGACACCTAAGCTATCAAATTTCACATCAAATGGTTATAAATCATTGTGGCCTCTTTATACAAAAGATAAAGGGTTTCCTTGCATACAATCCCAAAAAACATTGGTATAACTTTTTAATGTTGCTTGATAGGGATAGAAACTTGGGGGTTACCATGAAATAAGTGAGTGTTTAGGAGTCACGACGATATTTTCTGATTATTTTGTGTCCACTAAGTTTTGGTTGGACAAATTGTGAGGACACTACGGCACATGAAGGAAAGGTGTTCTGATCAAAATGGAGTCAAAAAACAAAAGTATTTCGTCCCAGCTTTAAATAATCTTCTATCCTTGGCCTGATTGTGCCATCTCTCTCTCCCTCTCTCTCTCTCTCTCTCAAATAAGCTTGGAAGTTTCCATTGATATTCAGTATCTGTAAAACAAAAAAAAACTCGCAAAGGTAATCAGCAAAGGAATTAAAATCTTTTCACATCTAAAGAGGAACAGCGTGTTTTTGCCGGCACCTTTGCCGCCTCATTAGCTTATTTTTAACATAAGTAAAAGTGATATTCTTACCCATGCACAAATTTTCAATCTCTATTAACATGTGTTTCAAACCCTGGGGTATTCTCTGCTCATCCTTACATCATTGAATGCCATATAGGGAATCCCTTTCTACAACGGCTCTTTGATGATTGTGATTGAAAAGTAGTTATAGGAGTTGTAAAATAGGCCTTCTCTCTCTTCATTAATTGTAATTTGACTTGA